GGACACCTGTTATTGCCATACGGAACCTATCGATTATTCGTTACCGTACTTTCAACAATTTCGCAACGTTCCCCCGGGTTCGTTCGAGCGAACGAAACGGGAACGTTTCGCGCGGCGCGCTCCGCGGCCGCTCGCGATTTGCATAACTCGTATCCGGAGCGGTAGCTAACCAGTCCGGGAAATCGGTGTATAATAACACGTTCCCGGCGACAAATTAGCGATACGCGATGCCGATCGCGGCAACAAAGCGCTGCGCGAGGGCAGCTCCGCGAGCTCGCGCTAGCTCGCGCGGCTCTATGAAAGTTGCCCCTCAAGGACTCTCCGGGACTCTCGCGCCGCGACAAGTACACGTGTAAAGAAGCCGGGGAAACAACGAAATTATTGTAGCCGTAAATTGTCCCGGCGAACAGGCGGCCGCGCGGCACAATGGACGGTCGCGCGAGGAGCAGCAATTGACGCGGGAGACGCGGCTCGGCGCTCGCTCGCCGTGTCCGAGGTGAAATACAGCCGGAGATTTTATCGATCACGAATGTCATTAGCGGGCTGGTAACAACCCGCGGAAGATTGATCGACGGCACCAACGGTGTAATGGCTGTTCACCTATGACGAGGAATTAGAGGACGAACACCTCTCCGTCGACCCCGCCGATCCGAGTGAAATCGTCGCGGCGCAAAATCAGTTACGTTTAAAATCAGTCACTCGGTTCCATTCGGGCGGACCTCGCCGTTTCAACGTCGGATCGTCGTCCTCCTTTCGGAGCGCAAGAAAGTGGAACCTGCGGGAGCTTCCTACGTCTGCAAGAATTCATCCTTGAAGAGGCTGCGGAACGCTCGCCCGCCGAGGCGACCGCAAAGCGGGGATAAAAAGTTGCGGGAAGAACTGTCGCGCGGATAACGGGGCAAATTTTCCTCGCCGTGTGCGGCGGCCGGGGAAAAAAGCGAGTCCCCGGGGCGAAAAGTAGTCGTTGGCTTCTTCAAGGACCTTTCTGCCCGTGACATCACCTCTGAAACGGTACACGCGGGCAGCGGCGTAAGTACGGCGTAGCATAGGCATTGCCGAGGTCACAGACCTTCTATGCCGGTCGGCAGGCAATGCTCTCCCTTTGCCTTGGCTTGGCTTGGCTTGGCTTGGCTTGGCTCGGCTCGGCTTGGCTCGGCTTGCCTGCTCGCGCCGCGCAGAGGAGTCACCGCGTGGCCGATCCTTTCCCCTACTCGCCGCCGCTCGAACGGGCAACTTTCAGTTACCCGCGTTCGTTAATAATCACGGCCGTGGATTACGGTGCACGATAATCTCGCGCGGAATCGCGCGAACGGCCGTAAACCAGATCGGAAGTGTCGCTGATGAATGGGGCGAGTTAATTTCATTTAACGGATCGCGCGAAACACCGGCGGCGCGCTACACCGCGGATGACAAATGGAGCCCGGGACGAACGGGATCTACGCGGCGCGCGGTGAAAGATCATCGCACCAGTGATTCCGCTTAATTACGATCCTCTTCTTTGCAGTCTTACTCTTCGGACTGACTGCTTTTGGCCGCTCAGCTGCTGCCACTTGATTCGACGCCGCGAGGGAATAACCTTGCCAGTGGGCAGAGGCTCGTGGGAACGCTGCGTTTTCTTTCGAATTTTTCCGTCGAGTTGTTTGTAATTAACCTTAATCGTACGTGTTTCTGTAACGAATTATAGGGCAGATTTTGAAAGAGCAGAGACACTTTTGGAAGTGCGATATGAAATCAAGAAATTTAAGGGAAAAGTTCAAATGTGACTCAAAGTCACGTCTTAGGGTTAACCCTTTGCACTCGAGAGGTGACACTAAGTCACCACTTGATTTGATGTAGTAAAACTATAAAATTTGATATTCAACACTGACGTGTGAAATATTGAGATAAAAAAGCTTTGTTTCTCAATTCACTCGCAATTTCTCTTTGACTTAATTTAAAAAATGTCGTCTATATCTAGCTAGAAAATGTTAAGTATTTCCAACGAAATGCTTCCGAGTGCAAAGGGTAAATAATATATTTTCTCCGTTTCGTGTATTTTGCTCTACGGAGTCGCGTGGCATTCAACATGTTAAAATTCATTAAAATATTCAATATCGGAACCGGTGCAATATCGGAGCCCACAGGGTTCAAAGGGTTAATTTTCCAGGCGAACACTCGCGGGAATGATTGATCCGCATTGGTTCTTACATTGTTACAACGCTGAAGGGGTCGGCGGTTCTCAGAAGTCTCTGGGCCCGTTCCACCCACGATGCATTGGCATCGTGCATCGTCGTTAACAGGTTGCATCGGGGCTACGGCCGACGGCCGGCTGATACAACGGCGACCGATGTAATTGGTCACGGCCCGTCCCATTGGCAAGATTCTAAAAAAGGAACAGCCGGCCGGCCAGAAGAAAGAGAGATGTAAATCTCCGGCCGGAGAGGAAGAAGATCTCTCGCGCGGCGTTTCGAGCCGGCAGGGATGAGTAAGCGAGCGAGCGAGTAAGCGAGCGAGCAAGCGAGCGGGCGAGCAGGGTTGCCGGTGCGCTAGAGAGTTGTCCGTGGGTGCATCGCGGAGCGATACGATGTTGCCGGTAGTATAGATGGTTAGATGGGGATGCACGCGCGTTGCTCTCTGATCGGAGCACGCCGGCCATCTACCCTAACGGCAGCCTCGTTTACGCGACCGCTCTATCTCCTTCCCTTCCATTTTCTTCTCGAAACGCCTCTGC